TGAGCTCTAATACATATTCATTCTTTTCCCTGAAAAGGCGGACCTCTTCCTAGTAGTACTCATTTCCAAACTCCCCCCCCATTAGCTCCTCCCAGTTGTGCTTGCGCAATGTAGCCTGGTATTCGAGGGCAGGGGTATTTCAGGATGAAGGCAACAAGGAAGAGGAGGTTAAACATTTTACCTTCCTGTACTTTGACCTTATGTTGGACAGTATTTAGGAGTTTTTTGCTTATCTTTGCCTTATTTTCTGCCAGTGAGTTGTTCATCCTTCCCTTATGCGTTGGCCTTGAGCGATATCTTCACTTTTACATCTGCTTCTCATAAGTTTCTCATCTACATTCCCCGATAATCAGGATATTTTACCATATATGTAGCTAAATATTAATTCAGATGAGTTTTAGCATCTTCCTCATCTCAGTGTACGCTTCCTCAGGCATGGCCATTAAGTTGCAGGGTGTATTCCCAGCAGCTGCTGGAGTTACTGCATCGGCTGCCAGAGGTCTCAACCGAGACAACTGAGGAAGAGCTGGGCAAGACTTCAAGTGAGGCAGCCGGGCCGACAGGCCCTGCACCTTGTGGGAATGCCCAGAAGAAGCGGTGGGTGATTTCTGTGGGGGACTCCATGCTTCAGGCTGTGGATATGAAGATATATATAGATATATGGATATATCATAGAATCATAGAATCATAGAATATCCTGAGTTGGAAGGGACCCTTAAGGATCATCAAGTCCAACTCTTGACACTGCACAGGTCTACCCAAAAGTTCAGACCATGTGACTAAGTGCACAGTCCAATCTCTTCTTAAATTCAGACAGGCTCGGTGCAGTGACCACTTCCCTGGAGAGCCTGTTCCAGTGTGCAACCACCCTCTCTGTGAAGAACCCCCTCCTTATGTCAAGCCTAAATATCATATATGGATATAAGATATATCCATGCTTGGATACAAGGTGGTTTGGAAAGACTGACAAACGATGTCCACGAGTCAGACTATTACCCTCTGTTGCTGGATAATGCTCTGCAGAGAGGGACCTGGGCATCCTGATGGACAGAAAGCTGACCATGAATGTTCCCTTGTGGCCAAAAAGTCCTAGGAGATGCCGGGGTGCATTTAGAAGAGGGTTGCCAGCAGCTCAAGGGAGGTGATATGCTCTAGGTGATCCTGCGCAGCAGAAGGTCAGGCTAGATGACCTTCAGAGGCCCCTTCCAACCTCAGCCATTCTGTGATTCTGTGGCAAGTCCACCATGGTCATCATGTTTTCCAACCCTTTCAACTACGTCGTATCCCACGTTGAGTTTTGGCCATTCTGTGATTCTGTGAACACACAAGCTCCACACACTGCAGGAAGCTGCATCCAAAAATATGCAGACGCACAGCTCTGGGAAATTCAGTGTAAGCACCAGAGGCTGGCTGTTTTGTTATCACGATTGTAAGAAGCCCCAAGGGAGCTGCTCACACTACTTAGGACATCACGGAAGGAGTGGGAATGCAAGAGGATGCTGAGCAAATACCAGTGTGTCCTGTAAGCTAAGTGGGCACAGCAAGTTATGGCTTAATTTTCCAATATTTTTTAGGTATCAAGAAATCATACCCTAGTAACAGATATTTATTTATTTATTTATTTATTTATTTATTTATTTATTTTAACAGCTAGGGAACAAGTATTTGGCAGAAGGAGCTTTTTTGCCTTCCATCCTCCATATGAAGTTCTTCTTAGCCACTTGCAATCCTAGAATCCTAGAATCATGATGCAGCTTCTGCTCTGGCTCCTGGAGCCCCTCCTGCCCTCCTTCTTCACTGACCTGGGTGCCTGCAGGGTTCTTTCTCTCTCACTTTATCTCATAGCTTCTGCTGTCCCTTTTCAACCTGTCTGGAACTGGCTTGTCTCTAACATGGGGCAGCTTCTGGTCTTTTGTCACAGAGGCCACCCCTGCAGCTCCCCCGTGCTACCAAACCCTTGATGTGGAAGCCCAATACAAGGATTTTCATTTATTTATGTATTTGTTGGTTTATTTTGAGGAAGTTGGGAATGATGGCAGGGCCACAGGAGGGTGGTGGCTGCAGGTCCAGGGCATGGACATGGGCATGTCTGCAGGCCAGGAGGAGCCTCACAACCCACATTTAAAATCATATAAGCATTTAGTTTGTAAAAACCCTCTAAATCCAACTGTTAGCCTAACACTGTCAAGTCTACCACCAAAGGAGGTCCAGCAGGTCCCCAGGCACCATCTCTACATGTCTTTTGAGTACCTACAAGGATGGTGACTCAACAGCTTCCCTGGGCAGCCAGTTCCAAAGGTCCACAACCCTTTAAGTAAAGAAAGTTCTCCCCATATCCAACCTAAACCTCCCCCTGTGCAACATCATATGTTACAGAGGGGGTAGGTTGTTATGCTGGACCTAAGCTAAGACTGTACCCAAGCGCTGCAACTCTCCCAGTCCTTCCTGTCCCCTCTCTCTTGTCCTCTTGTGAAATGTACCCATAGGACATCTCCAAAGTGCCCACAGTGTCTGCTCCCAGAGCATGTTTGCTCATCACCAAGGGTCAAGCTGAAAGCAGATTCGGTTCCCCCTCAGAAACTCGGCTCCACGTGCTGCAAGTGCAAGCAGGGATGGGAGGAACAAGCAGCAGGGAGGAGCAGTGTGGGAAGCATCCTCCTGTAGCTGCCTCTATCGGTCTTTGCTATATTTCCTCCCCAGCTGGTAAGGGTGGACCTGAGCTCAGCCCCTGCTGAGCCACCTCCTCCTTTATTCCTGCTGGACTGGTAACAACTTCTCAAAAATTCTGCTGCTGCTGGATGAAGCACCCATGGGTGAGAGGCTGTCTGCTCGCGCTGGGCTTGGGACTGCAGAGGTCGTCCTCATCCTAGCAGGGCTGTGTGGTGAGTGCCTTGTGCAGTCTCCTCCCTGTGCTGGCTGCAGTCTATGTTTTCAGAAACACCATGTTGGGTTGCTGCTTCTCTTCATTTCTGTGCAGCTTAATTATCGTTATAAGGTACTTGTCTAGAGCAACCTGCATGGGCTTTGTGGACGCTGCTGGAAGTGGCATAGATGCAGAACTCCCAAGCCCTCCTGCCAAGGGCAGCTCTCTTCCAGCTGGTTGCTGCAGAAGGCTTGAGTTTTCCTCAGAAGTGCTGATACCTTCTAGAAGGTGGATGTCACAAAGTGGGAGAATTTTTTATAGTGGTAGAGTCACGTGGCAAATTAGGAATGAGAAAACAACCTACTGGGAATGGAGAGGAGTGCTGCCCAGCTGCCCTCATCATACATTGATGATCAGAAGAAAACAGTGAATTGCAAAGGGATGGCAGAGGGAGCCAAGTAAAAATTGGGAAAGGTATAGAAATCAAGTGTGCTGAGTGAGTGCGGTGCTGCCTTCTCAGTAGTGTCAACTACGTGTTGTAGAGCTTGAATGGCTGAAAAAAAAGAGGGGGAATTGGAAATGCCAGCCCTTTGAGGGGTAGTAAATGCTGTGGAGTTGATCTGCTTGGGCCAGACTGATCTGAGGAAGCAGGATAGAGGTTTGCAGAAATAAAGGAAAATAAAGGACCTCTTATGTTCCTTATGCTGTGGTAAGGCTGTTCATTCAATAAAGCCAACCGAGATTTGTGAATGCAACATTTCTGGCCCATGGTGCTCTGAGTGCACAGCCTTACTCAAAATTGCTCCAACAAAGAGCCTGCAATTCAACTATTCGCTAGTTTTTATTTTTTTTTAAATATTATTATTATTTATTTATTTATTTATTTATTTATTTATTTATTTTTAGTAATGTAAATTCATCCTGAAGCCTGTTCACTTGAAAAAATTGGTCTTAATGTATTTTGGTTTTCCTTGTTTTGAGGGACCATATTTTCACCTGTCAGTAGGTGGAACAGCCTGGGGTTTGCTCAAGGGCTATCTGTCACGTGTCCTTGCCAAAATTATGATAATAAAGTTATAAGTGCTTGTGTCCTTCTCTTGCTGGTTCATCCCTATTCCTTTCAGCCAACAGGTAGAGACCGTCAAGATGTTCCTTAGCATTTTCTTGTCCAAGATATCCTACTAACTTTTCCTTCCCTTTGCTCTCCCTCATTGCCAGCATCAAGTCCTGCCCAAATAAGACTTGTGAATGGCCCTGAACCCTGCACGGGGCGACTGGAGGTGTTTTACAATGGCACCATGGGGGACGGTGTGTGACGACCACTGGAGCCTCGCGGAAGCCCGTGTGGTGTGCCGGCAGCTGGGCTGCGGGATGGGCCTGTCTGCTGTTGGCGGGGCTCGGTATGGACGAGGAGAAGACCCCATCTGGCTGGACAATGTGCAGTGCAGCGGGACAGAAGCTGCTCTTTCTGAGTGCCGGGCACGGCCCTGGGGAGATCACAACTGTGGGCATGGGGAAGACGTCAGCATTGTGTGCTCGGGTGAGTCTGGCTCGTACCGCGTCTTGGACCAGATGACCTCCAGAGGTCCCTTCCAACCTAAACCGTTCTGTTATTTGGTTCTGCAACAACTGCGGGAGACAGCTGAGGGATGAAATTATGGGCAGGACAACTACTGTTCATCCTAGGAGGATGTGCTGCTAATGTCAGGTGGTCCTGATCACAAAGCAGCCCCATGGAACATGCAAGATCAGTCTTAGAAGACAGGTTTCAGTCTAACATCATTGCTTCCAATGGGTGCCAGATCAGAATTATAGAGTGGTTTGGGTTGGAAGGGACTTTTAAAGATCCAACCCTCCTGACATGGGCAGGGTAACCCTTCACTACATCCGATTTCTCAGGGCTCCAGCCAATCTGACCTTAAACATTTCCAAGAGGGGGAATCCACCTCCTCTTCAGGAAAGCTGCTCCATATTTCAGCAGTCCCATAGTACAGAGTTTCTTCCTTATATCTATGGCTTGAGTTCACCTCTCTGAATATACCTGTCTGCACTCATCTGCTTTGGTTCTACTACTCGAGGTTTTGTCTTCCACTTTTCTGTGTCTGACCTGCATGTGTCTTTTGAATTCCAGAACCAGCCCAGCTCCGGCTGGTGAATGGCTCCAGCCGCTGCTCTGGGAGGGTCGAGGTCCTTCGTAACCAGCAGTGGGGGACTGTGTGTGATGACGGCTGGGACCTGAGAGATGCAGAGGTGGTGTGCCGGCAGCTGGGCTGCGGGATGGCCGTGTCAGCTCCAGGCTCAGCTGAGTTTGGGCAGGGCTCCAGCCACATCTGGCTGCAAGGTGTTGAGTGCACAGGGACAGAAGCTGCCCTCTCCAAGTGCAGGGCCAGGCCCGAAGGAGTCCACCTCTGCCACCATGGAGAAGATGCTGGTGTGGTGTGCTCAGGTAGCTGTTGATCATCTGCCCATGAGCTTGTGGGTTCCAACACTGCAGGAGCTCAGTGGATTGCTTTTCCTTTCTTCTCTATGTCACTGCTCTTCCCACATGTGAATGGACAAATCTCATAATGTGTTCTCCTCATGGCCAGTAAAATAGAAATTTTCCTCTAGGACATCTGTACGCAGTGAATTATCCTGGAATGGATGCACTTGCTTGGAAACCACCCACACTGAGGTACTCTCCTTTATTAATCTGGTATATCCTGCAGAACACTCCATCTTAACTGGTCACCCAGGTTTCTTTAAGGAAAGAAACCTGTGGTTGTGGGATATGGTTTGCAGAAAGGACCATTTTGCAGTCATCCAGCCCTGCCAATGCCCACTGCAAATAAGTTGCTCTACAGAACGAGCAGTCAGACCGATGGCACCTTGAGTGGCCTTGACTTCCCCTTGAGTGGTCCACCAAAGTGGTCCACCTCTGAGGCAAAGGCAGCTGTGATGCACAGGGACCTAACAGAAGCTCTCTTGGTGTCTCCTCTTTGGAATCATATATCACAGAATAATACAGATTGGAAAGGATCTCTGGAGAACACCGATCTAGTCCTCCATTCACTGTGAGACCAACTAAACCTTGTGAATGGCCTTGACCAGTGAAAATGTAAAAGTCCCCAGGGATGAGGGTTCTAGTGCCTTTCTGGTCTCTGTTACAATATTTAACCATCCTTATGTGGAAAAAGAATATTTTCCGCTATCTAATGAGAATTTCTATTGGTGCACATTGTGCCTGTTTCTTCTTGTCCTTGCGTACTGCTAATTATCTCCTCGATTAGCTCTGGATAAAGGAGATAATCTTTTAATCTTTTCTCTTTCTGTCCCCTGCCCCTCTTTCACATTAACATCATATTTCCAGCTGGTTTACTGATGCTCTTGGTTGTTGGATGGTCCTTCAAGTGGGAGCATCTCCTTAAATGCTCCTCTTTGTTGCCTGCTCCACTTGTTCATTAAGCAGGAGCTCTGAGCTTTGCTCTGTTCCCAGCTCCCCCTTGGGAAGGATATCGGGGATATTTCATCTTTATCCAACAGCTGAGAAAGGATCAGGAACTGTGTCTGTGCCTGAGTTTTTAAGGATGTGGTGGAGACTCTTGGAAACCAGGGTTGAGTGGTTGGAGACTCCTGTGTTGAACGTCTGCATGTTGTCTTTTTGGGAATGGGGGATGGGGTTGGGTATGATGCTGCCAGTTTTACCAGCGTTGTTCTCAAGTTTTTTCACCTCAAGAAAAGGACAAGGCAGTGGGAAGGCACCAAGACTGAGCAGATCCAAAGGGCTGGGTTGTCCAGAGATGTTCCTATGAGTGGTGTGTTGGAGTCCAAAAGAACATGCCCATCTATCTCACTCATGGCAAGGTCACTCCTAGGCCCATGTGTGACCCAACCAAGGAGATATCTTTTCCAGGTTGCATTCTGTTTCTTTGCCAAGTGCTGAAACTTTGTGTTGAAAGGAATGCCGTCTGTAGGCTCTTTGCATGTAGGAGGAAGCTTGGGTGGGTGGATCAGCATGTAGTTTTGATGGTGGGAAAAATCTTTGGGATGAAGGGTGCTGCGTGTGGACCAAACGTTTGATCAAGGGTGGTTTCTGCAAAGGAGACTTCATGTCTGAGTACTGGCAGTCAACAGTGTATACCCTGTGCTGCTGGTATTAGTCAAGTCAACTTGATTTGTGCTGTCTCCAAAGCAGTGAGCATCCTCAATGGTCTTGTAAAAGAGGGGGAAAACTCAGGCAGCACTGCCTGGGATGCCTAGATCAACCCACTGACTGAATCCTTGTGGTCTGCAGGCTTTGTACACATGGACCAGCTGGTTGCCTCTGACATGTCCACCTTGATGCCTGGAGCAGAGCAAGTGGAGGCAAAGGAGTCTCACGCTGATGATGCCAGCAACAAGTGAGCTCAGTTCCTGTGACCATCCCAGATACAAGACTCCAGCTGATGCAGCTCCATCCCAGTGCACAGCCCTGTCACCATGAAGGGCCCTGGATGATCCCTTCTCTACAGAGTGAAATCACCAGAGATTGACCCATTGTCAGCTCCATGCCCACGTCAGCCAGCCACCCAAAGTGATACAGGGCATGAAGCACCAGCTGGCAGAAATGGTCTGTGTGCACAAGAGAAGTGATGCATAGAAATATTTCAGGTTCCTGTTTTCATTTTTTTTTTCTTGGTGCATTTGTGAAAATAAAAAAATAATAATTCTGTAACACATAAGCAATGTTTTACTGTTTTTTTTCTTTCTTTTCTTCTTTCTTCTCCTCTTTTATTTTTTTGTTTTTATTTTTTTTTTTAGTCAATGAAGGCTGCAAAGCTTTTCCCTACATATATGCAATGGCTTGTTTCTGTTCACCTGTGAAGCTGAGTAGCTTTGCTAACTCCACCAACTGAAAGCTCAGGTGAGGCCTCACACAGACATTTAGAGCCACCTGAGACATCCTAGGTCTCGGACACTGGCATGGGACTGTCAAATAGGACAAAGGACCTACAGGTAACTAGATGTGTCTCTGTGTGGGCAGCTAGACCATGCTGAGCTCTTCCTTCTGCTGCATTCCCAAATGTTTCTGCTTGTTGTCCTTGGAGAGTAGTCTTGTGGGGCACCTGAGACCACAGTGCTCTGACACAAGAAGAGCTTGGAAGGCACAGAGATGCGAGCTGGATATGCAGAGGGATGCTGGCTGGGGTTTTAAGCAGCACTGGTCATAAAAAGATGTGCTGGGTTCTCCAGTGGCTAGTGATGCAGCCCATCTCACACAACCCAAAACAGCTGCTTGGAAGCATCAGAGAAAGCCTCAGCATGGGGACTCAGGCTGTGATGGCTATGATAGCTGTGATGAGTTAAAAGCATGAACACCTGGAAGGCCGGGGAGGAGGGGAGGTGAGCAGGAAACAGGATGCCTGCTGAGTCATCGGGACTTAGAAGATGAAGGCTTGGAATGCCCAGGGATGATTTAATCTAGAAAACAGAAGATGACTTTTGTTACAGGTAGGAATGCACCTTATTGCAGGCACTTTGAGATGATGCATACACTGGTCCTGCTGTCTGCTAATGAGCAGGATAATGGTTGTTACCCTTGTGACCTAGTGACCCTAAAGAGGTCAGGGTAATGGAGAGGTCTTTCTCCAGAATGCAGGCAGTGCTTGCAGAATTAGCTTTTCTTTGTTCTCGTTCCTGAAGCTGCAGTTCTCACCCACTTTGACACGAGGTTATCTTCTTCCTAGGAAGCACAGTTCCCTTTTCAGCATTTTCTTGGCATGGTTTAGAAGAGTTCAGCTGCAGGATCCCCACCCATGGCTGGCTAGTGACCTTGTGCTGCTGCAGAGCTTCCAGTCCTTCATCTGCTCAACAAAAGAACAATTCTGGAAACTTCCCTGGATTGCTCCAGTTTGATGTGAGCTGGATACGTGATCAGGGAGGTTCATCTGGCTCTTTGCAGGGGTTTGGGAAGTAGAGGCATTTGAGATAGGGGAGCCCACCAGTGTGGTGGGACTAGTAGTCCATCCACCACCCAGCAGCTCCTCGGGTTTTAAGTTTGAATCTACAATCAGCCCATCATACAATTTATGTACTTTTGTTTAAAGGGTGGCAAGTGAGAGTTAAAAGTGGAATAATGACAGAATCACAGAATTTCTAGGTTGGAAGAGACCTCAAGATCATCGAGTCCAACCTCTGACACACACTAACAGTCCCCACTAAACCATATCCCTATCTCTACATCTAAACGTCTTTTAAAGACTTCCAGGGATGGTGACTCCACCACTTCCCTGGGCAGCCCATTCCAGTGCCTAACAACCCTTTCGGTAAAGAAGTTCTTCCTAACACCCAACCTAAACCTCCCCTGGCACAAATTTAGCCCATTCCCCCTCGTCCTGTCACCAGGCAGGTGGGAGAACAGACCAACCCCCACCTCACTACAGCCTCCTTTAAGGTATCTGTAGAGAGTGATAAGGTCACCCCTGAGCCTTCTCTTCTCCAGGCTGAACAAGCCCAGCTCCTTCAGCCGCTCCTCCTAGGACTTGTTCTCCAGGCCCCTCACCAGCTTCGTCGCCCTTCTCTGGACCCACGCAAGCACCTCGATGTCCTTCTTGTAGCGAGGGGCCCAAAACTGAACACAGTACTCGAGGTGCGGCCTCACCAGAGCCGAGTCCAGGGGGACGATCACCTCCCTAGCCCTGCTGGTCACACTGTTTCTGATACAAGCCAGGATGCCGTTGGCCTTCTTGGCCACCTGAGCACACTGCTTGCTCATATTCAGCTGACTGTCCATCATCACTCCCAGGTCCTTCTCTGCCTGGCAGCTCTCCAACCACTCATCTCCCAGGCTGTAGCTCTGCTTGGGGTTATTGCGCCCCAGGTGCAGGACCCGGCACTTGGCCTTGTTGGACTTCATGCAGTTGACCTCAGCCCATCGGTGCAGCCTATCCAGATCCTCCTGCAGAGCTTTCCTACCCTCGAGCAGATCGACACATGCGCATAGCTTGGTGTCATCTGCAAACTTACTGAGGGTGCACTCAATGCCCTTGTCCAGATCATTGATGAAGATATTAAAGAGGACCGGCCCCAGCACCGAGCCATGGGGGACGCCACTAGTGACCGGCCTCCAACTGGACTTGCCTCCATTTACCACGACTCTTTTGGCCCGGCTATCCAGCCAGTTTCAAACCCAACGAAGCGTGCACCAGTCCAAGCCAAGAGCAGCCAGTTTCCTGAGGAGAATGCTGTGGGAGACGGTGTCAAAAGCCTTGCTGAAGTCAAGGTAGACCACATCCACAGCCTTTCCCTCATCCACCCAGCATGTCACTTTGTCATAGAAGGAGATCAGGTTCGTCAAGCAGGATCTGACTTCCATAAACCCATGCTGACTGGGCCTGATCGCCTGCTTTCCCTGCAAGTGCCACATGATGACTCTCAAGAGGATCTGCTCCATGAGCTTCCCTGGTACTGAGGTCAAACTGACAGGCCTGTAGTTTCCCGGGTCTGCCCTCCGGCCCTTCTTGTAGATGGGCGTCACATTCGCTAGCCGCCAGTCAGCTGGGACTTCCCCTGATAGCCAGGACTGCTGATAAATGATGGATACGGGCTTGGCCAGCTCCTCTGCCAGTTCTCTCAGTACCCTTGGGTGGATCCCATCCGGCCCCATCAACTTGTGCGCATCCAAGTGCCGTAGCAGGTCGCCAACCATTTCTTCGTGGATGGTGAGGGCCACATCCTGCTCCCTATCCCCTTCCACCAGCTCAGGGTACTGGGTATCCAGACGACAACCGGTATTGCCGCTAAAGACTGAGGCAAAGAAGGCATTAAGCACCTCTGCCTTTTCCTCATCTCTTGTAACTAAGTTTCCCCCCGCATCCAGTAAAGGAAGGAAATTCTCCTTAGTCCTCATTTTTGTGTTGATGTATTTATAAAAACGTTTTTTATTATCTTTAACGGCAGTAGCCAGATTGCATCCTGTTTCTTTGCCAAGTGCTGAAACTTTGTTTTGAAAGGAATGCCATCTGTAGGCTCTTTGCATGTAGGAGGAAGCTTGGGTGGGTGGATCAGCATGTAGTTTTGATGGTGGGAAAAATCTTTGGGATGAAGGGCTGCGTGTGGACCAAACGTTTAATCAAGGGTGGTTTCTGCAAAGGAGACTTCATGTCTGAGTACTGGCAGTCAACAGTGTATACCCTGTGCTGCTGGTATTAGTCAAGTCAACTTGATTTGTGCTGTCTCCAAAGCAGTGAGCATCCTCAATGGTCTTGTAAAAGAGGGGGAAAACTCAGGCAGCACTGCCTGGGATGCCTAGATCAACCCACTGACTGAATCCTTGTGGTCTGCAGGCTTTGTACACATGGACCAGCTGGTTGCCTCTGACATGTCCACCTTGATGCCTGGAGCAGAGCAAGTGGAGGCAAAGGAGTCTCACGCTGATGATGTCAGCAACAAGTGAGCTCAGTTCCTGTGACCATCCCAGATACAAGACTCCAGCTGATGCAGCTCCATCCCAGTGCACAGCCCTGTCACCATGAAGGGCCCTGGATGATCCCTTCTCTACAGAGTGAAATCACCAGAGATTGACCCATTGTCAGCTCCATGCCCACGTCAGCCAGCCACCCAAAGTGATACAGGGCATGAAGCACCAGCTGGCAGAAATGGTCTGTGTGCACAAGAGAAGTGATGCATAGAAATATTTCAGGTTCCTGTTTTCATTTTTTTTTTCTTGGTGCATTTGTGAAAATAAAAAAATAATAATTCTGTAACACATAAGCAATGTTTTACTGTTTTTTTTCTTTCTTTTCTTCTTTCTTCTCCTCTTTTATTTTTTTGTTTTTATTTTTTTTTTTAGTCAATGAAGGCTGCAAAGCTTTTCCCTACATATATGCAATGGCTTGTTTCTGTTCACCTGTGAAGCTGAGTAGCTTTGCTAACTCCACCAACTGAAAGCTCAGGTGAGGCCTCACACAGACATTTAGAGCCACCTGAGACATCCTAGGTCTCGGACACTGGCATGGGACTGTCAAATAGGACAAAGGACCTACAGGTAACTAGATGTGTCTCTGTGTGGGCAGCTAGACCATGCTGAGCTCTTCCTTCTGCTGCATTCCCAAATGTTTCTGCTTGTTGTCCTTGGAGAGTAGTCTTGTGGGGCACCTGAGACCACAGTGCTCTGACACAAGAAGAGCTTGGAAGGCACAGAGATGCGAGCTGGATATGCAGAGGGATGCTGGCTGGGGTTTTAAGCAGCACTGGTCATAAAAAGATGTGCTGGGTTCTCCAGTGGCTAGTGATGCAGCCCATCTCACACAACCCAAAACAGCTGCTTGGAAGCATCAGAGAAAGCCTCAGCATGGGGACTCAGGCTGTGATGGCTATGATAGCTGTGATGAGTTAAAAGCATGAACACCTGGAAGGCCGGGGAGGAGGGGAGGTGAGCAGGAAACAGGATGCCTGCTGAGTCATCGGGACTTAGAAGATGAAGGCTTGGAATGCCCAGGGATGATTTAATCTAGAAAACAGAAGATGACTTTTGTTACAGGTAGGAATGCACCTTATTGCAGGCACTTTGAGATGATGCATACACTGGTCCTGCTGTCTGCTAATGAGCAGGATAATGGTTGTTACCCTTGTGACCTAGTGACCCTAAAGAGGTCAGGGTAATGGAGAGGTCTTTCTCCAGAATGCAGGCAGTGCTTGCAGAATTAGCTTTTCTTTGTTCTCGTTCCTGAAGCTGCAGTTCTCACCCACTTTGACACGAGGTTATCTTCTTCCTAGGAAGCACAGTTCCCTTTTCAGCATTTTCTTGGCATGGTTTAGAAGAGTTCAGCTGCAGGATCCCCACCCATGGCTGGCTAGTGACCTTGTGCTGCTGCAGAGCTTCCAGTCCTTCATCTGCTCAACAAAAGAACAATTCTGGAAACTTCCCTGGATTGCTCCAGTTTGATGTGAGCTGGATACGTGATCAGGGAGGTTCATCTGGCTCTTTGCAGGGGTTTGGGGAGTAGAGGCATTTGAGATAGGGGAGCCCACCAGTGTGGTGGGACTAGTAGTCCATCCACTACCCAGCAGCTCCTCAGGTTTTATGAATCTACAATCAGCCCATCATACAATTTACGTACTTTTGTTTAAAGGGTGGCAAGTGAGAGTTAAAAATGGAATAATGCTCTCTTAATGGTAGAAATGGGATCTAGGGACCTTAGTCTATGAGTCTAGAAACACTGAGGCAAGTAAGGGTACCTTGCAAAAAGAAATTCACATGTGTGTAGGTCCCCAAAATGTCTGAGCTTGGAGTGTGCAATTTACACACATGCACTTTATAGCCTGTCCCTGAAGTCTCTTTTAAGTGTCATCTGCAAATGGGCCATGGGGTAACCCCAGAACATGCCCTGCTGTCCCAGGATGCTGTTACTTCTCCAACACATTGCCTTCTCTGTGGGGTGGTAAATGAGGGTCCTTGCTAACAGACAGGCATCTCTGTGGGAGTTTCATTTTTATGTTTCTTGAGTATCACTGCAGCGAGGATCCCATGGGAGGCAGCTTCTTCAGGAGGCCCTCTGGGGAGGTTCAGTATGGGGGACACCAAAGGATGAGCAGATGAAGGGGAGTTAGAGTCTGGGCAGGCTCAGAATGGGAAGAGTTCTTCATGACCTGCTCCCACATTCCCTGTCCTCTCTCACTTAACCATTTCTGAAGCCATGCAATTGCCAGTACTGGGGCATCTGAACTTAAAAAATTAAAGCTGTGCGCTTCCTCTGTCCTTGTTATGGCTGATGGACTTACTCTGGCTCAAACCATTCCCTGAGACCTCTTCTTTACCTGTATTATTTATACCAGTTTTCAATAGATTAGTTCATTGTTGAAGGGGAGAATGAGAGAATTTGTCTGCTGCAGGTTAGCAAAAGACACTGAAATGCAAAAGCTGGGAGGGACAAGATGAGTCTGTGTTAAAAGCCTTGCAGCAGCTGGGGAGAGCTAACCCTGGAGATGCTGGCACAGGCAGAGCTCAACCATATGGAAAGGCTCCATGGGCTCAAGTGCAGATGTCTGTGCTGGACTGCTGCTAGAGTCACTGGGAGTGTCAGCAGAGAAAAATGAACCACATGAGAAGTCCCTGATGGTTTCCCTCATCTTGTATTCCAGCCTCTCAGAAAACCATACACAGAGCAGTCCCGGGGTAATGCTTCTGAGAGTGCTTGCTCTTGAATAATGAAGTGATTTCCTGCCATCTAGCTATACATCAATGAAATGCAACAAAAAGGAATTGATAGTACAACACATCTGGCTTTGAATGTTTCATTTTTCTGGTACACAACTGCTAGCATGTTGCCTGAAATCATTGCCTCTGTATGTCGTAACAGCTAAGGAATCCAAAGAAATATTGTATACTTTAAGAAAGGTGTCAAGATGAAGACAAGGGGTTTAATTTTGCCATGATATAAAACTCTGGATTTTCCACATCTTCTGTTCTGCAAGTAGTTCTGGTTGCCACATCCCAGGAAGGATGTACTGGAACTAGAGCAGGTCCAGAGACTGCACAAAGGTCTGGGACCTTCTGGAAGGTAGCGGAGTTGGGGTTGGTCTCTTCTCCCAAGCAACAAGCAATAGGACAAGAAGTAACGGCCTCAAGCTGCACCAGGAGAGGTATGGATTGGATATTAGGAGAAATTTCTTTACTGAAAGGGCTGCGAGGCATTGTAATAGGCTGCCCAGGGAAGTGGTTGAGTCACCATCCCTGGAGGTATTCAAGAAACGTGCAGATTTAGAACATAGTAGACTTAGAACATGGTTTAGTGGTGGATTTTAGGACTAGGTTAAAGGTTGAACTAGATGATCTTACAGGTATTTTCCAACCTAAATGGTTCTACGATTCCATGGAGTTCATACATTGTCTCCCTGTCCTTCTGCAGCTTCCCCAGCTTTACTTCAGGCCCTCTTTAGGTACTGGAAGGCTGCTCTAAGGTCTCCCCAGAGCCTTCTCTTCTCCAGGCTGAACAACCCCAACTCCCTTAGCCTGTTTTCACAGGAGAGGTGCTCCAGCCCCTCAGTCATCTCTGTGGCCCTCCTCTGGACTCGTTCTAATAGGTCCATGTCCTTCTGATTCTGGGGGCCCCAGAACTGAGCACATTACTCCAGGCAGGGTCTCACAAGAGCTGAGTAGAGGAGGAGAATACCCTCCCTTGCCCTGCTGGCCGTGCTTCTTTCCATGCATCCCAGGATGCGGTTGGTTTCTGGGCTACAAGCTCACATTCCCAGCTCATGTTGAGCTTCTCGTCAACCAAAACCCCCAGGCTGTTCTCCTTAGGACTGCTTTCAATCCATCCTCTGCCTGTAGTTGTGCTTTGGATTGCCCCAGACCAGATGCAGAACCTTGCCCTTGGCCTTGTTGAACTTCATGAGGTTTGCACAAGGCCACCTCTCAAGCCTGTCCAGGACCCTGTGGATGGCATCCCTTCCCTCCAGCATGTTGACTGAACACACAGATGGTGTCACTAGCTAACTTGCTCAATCCCACTGTCCGTGCCACGGCCAAAGATGTTAAAAATCCCAGATGTTTGTAGCATTTGGTATATTTGTAGAAACAAACAAACAAATAAAACACAAAACCAAAACAAACAACAACAACAAAACACCCTAGCTCTCTGTAACATGCTTAGAATTCACGTGTGTCTCCCTGAGAGGGGCTGAAGGCTCTCAGAGAACAGGAGCTGAATGGATGCAGTCCTTGGGGCACTAAGAGGAGGAAGGGCTCTGGTGGGTGCATATGAAGGCATCTGGATGCAGAAAAAGGTTGCAAAGCATCCCAGCAAAGAGCACAAGATGCCAGCATTTAGTCAGTTAGTATTCAGCAACGAACATCTCCGCTCACAAGAGGCTACCTGCTTCTAGGAACCACTTTTTTGCAAGCAGAATAATATAAGAAATAAAAAAAAAAGGTTCACAGGAGATTTCTCTTCTGTGACAGTTTCAGCTATGTCTTGGTTCTTGGCAGAACACAGGGACTGCAGAAGGAGCTGGTGTGGGTGCTGCAACAAGGAAGCTTTTTCTTGGCTGGAAAGTGGGACATATGTGCGCAATGAGTCTTGCATGTGTGCAAGATTGCATGAGATCTTGGAAACCCTGGTGCAAAGGGTTAATTATGGACAGACTTGCTGATTGGGTTTCTGTTAGGATGTGAAATTTATGGGCTGCAATATTCACGGGCTGTGATGCAGCAATAGGAAGTGTGGGAAATGGGTGGCTGTGTCATGAAAGAAAAACGTCTTGGCACGGACAGCTCCGTTCACTTGCCAGAGAGGAGCTTTTCCAAAAGACATGATGGATAAATGGGGCAAGAGACATCCTTTCATTTCCTTTCAGACAAGCTGCTGCACCTTATGTGTTTTTAGTCAGGCTAAATTGAGGAGGAAGGCCGAGGTGGCTCATTATACTATTTGCTGAAAGCCTGAAGTGTAAGCACAGGGAAAGGCTCAGGGTGTTGTGCCAAAGCATCCCATGGTTCAGAGATCAGCCAGGAAAATCCCTGAATTCACTTATACTGGGGGTCAGAATCAATGCAATGGGGCACCCATAACCTGGACATGCTTATAACTAAACCTCAGCAGTTCATTCATGATTTCTGGAACCCCCTCATTCTTTACATGATACTCCCAGAATACAGACTGTGTATTTTATGTGTCTTTTAGTGTGAGGGGTCAGGTCTTATCAACACAATTTCTGATAGTGGCCTTGGGGACAGACAGACTTCAGCTGGAGCAAGCTCTTCCATGTATATAAAGGACCTGCTCCTTAGAATTCCTTATTTTGGCAGGGGAAAGGAGACTTTCCTTTCCTCACCTATATGGTGAGGAAGATCTTACCTTCAGCCCTGAAGAAAGAGATCTGGGGGTGCTGGTCAACAGCAAGTTGAGTGTGAGCCAGCAGGGTGCGTGGCAGCCGAGAGGGCAAACATCATTTTGGGATGCTTTTAATACAGCATAGACAGCTGGTAAAAAAAAAAATAAAATAAAAAAATAAATAAAAAAGAGGTGATTCTCCTGCTATATATTACTGAAGCCTCACTTTGAATATTGTGTGCAGTTTTGGTCTCCACATCAAAAGGATGTGAAGATTGTGTCCAGAGGAGGGCAACAAAGCTGGTAAAAGAGCTGGATGGCATGTTCTGTGAGGAGAGGCTGAGGACACGTTTTTTTTGAGAAAACTCTACTCTACTCTACTCTACTCTACGCTACCCCACCCCATCCCATCCCATCCTCTGGTTTTATGAGGGTCTCAGTGAGAACTGAACTCTCCTAGGACATAATTCTCCCCACCTTAGCATCAAGGACTCCAGGTGAAGCACCCACTTTTCCCCCAGCTAGCTTTAATTGGGACCTCAGGGTACGAGCCTAAATGAAGCTCCAGCTCCAAACATTTTTGCTAGAGTAAATAAATGTAATTAAAAAAAAATATTTCCTCATTGCATGTGTCCTCTGAGGGAGATGCAGTCACCCTAGCAGACCTTTGAAACTCATTCTTATGTTTATGGTTTGAATATGGATATCCTGGCATTACCCACAGGAAACACTTTCTGGGATGAATCCTGTTTTTACCTTCTTCTGAATATGTCCAGGTCTTTCTCTTACTCAAATGCTTCCATTGAAGATGCTGATGCAGATGGGGGAAGCACAGTTACAGGCTTGTACGTGGCATGGTTACATGGCTGCTTAGACACGGACGTGTCTTCTTTAGAAGGCCAGGGGATGATAATAAGGTTCCTGCTGCCAAGAAGCGTTGCGAGGAGGATCCCATCACTGCTGCTTCTCCCATTTTTCCTGGCTCATTTTCAGCTTGAGTGAATAGTCATTGAGCTTCTTGCGGAGCTCCCATAGTGCAAAAAACTGTGCTGAGTCTCATGGGAATCCCCATCTAGTAAAGGCATGATATCAGGGAGCTCAGAGCACAGAGTCACCATCTCTTGCAAGATCCCATGCCCAAGCTTGTCTCCACCAACTCTTCCTGAAGGTTTTTTTTTTTTTTTTTTTTTTTGTGTGTGTATTCCTTTGTTTCAGAATCAGAGGTGGTTTGGTTGGTGAATGGCCCAAGCCGCTGTGCTGGGAGAGTTGAAGTCCTTGAGCAGCGCCAATGGGGGATGGTGTGTGATGATGCCTGGGACCTGCGTGACGCAGAAGTGGTGTGCTGGCAGCTGGGCTGTGGGACAGCAACTGCAGCTCCGGGCTTGGCTTACTTAGGCCAGGGACATGGTCCCATCTGGCTGGCCAAGGTCAACTGCACGGGGACAGAAGCTGCCCTCTCCAAGTGCAGGGCCAGGCCCGAAGGAGTCCACCTCTGCCACCATGGAGAAGATGCTGGTGTGGTGTGCTCAGGTAGCTGTTGATCATCTGCCCATGAGCTTGTGGGTTCCAACACTGCAGGAGCTCAGTGGATTGCTTTTCCTTTCTTCTCTATGTCACTGCTCTTCCCACATGTGAATCTTGAACTCCAAGGCTAGACCGATGCTGAACAAGTGGGGATTCCCCCTCACTGTCATATCAGGCACTGGGTCTCTCCTTTACCAGGTCCGCCACCAAGAGATGACGTGCTCTGCCTCTTTCCATTTCAGAGCCTCCTGAGGTCCGGCTGGTGAACGGCTCCAACCGCTGCTCTGGGAGAGTCGAGGTGCTGCATAACCAGCAATGGGGAAGTGTGTGTGATGATGACTGGGACCTGGATGATGCACAAGTGGTGTGCCGGCAACTGGGCTGTGGTACAGCTATCTGGGCTCCACATGCAGCTCAGTTTGGGCTGGGGAATGACCCCATCTGGCTTGATGATGTGAACTGCACAGGCTCAGAGGCTGCCCTCTCTGAGTGCAGGGCCAGGCCATGGGGCGAAAACAACTGTAACCACCGAGAAGCTGCCAGTGTGGTGTGTGCAGGTAAGCCACCTTCATTCCTTCATCACAAAAGCACAGAATTTCTCGGTTGCAAGAGACCTCAAGATCATCAAGATCATCCCTGGAGGTCTTTTAAAGACCTCCAGGGATGGTGACTCCACCACTTCCCTGGGCAGCCCGTTCCAATGCCTAACAACCCTTTTGGTAACGAAGTTCTTCCTAAGATCCAACCTAAAACTCCCCTGGTGCAACTTAAGCCCATTCCCCCTCGTCCTGTCACCAGGCAGGTGGGAGAACAGACCAACCCCCACCTTGCTTCATGGTGCAGCTCTGGAAGGAGCAATGTTGGCAGCCCTGCTGGACTCAGTATGTTGCTGTGTCTCTTATGGGAAGCCTATGGATAGCTCTATTTTGCTCGTGTCTCTTGCCTCTGTATAGAGACCTATTTTCAGGACCCTTTACACATTGACCCTTCTCACTACCTTTGGTCCATGTAGTCTTGATGGACTGCCAGGCTCTTGCTCTGTATTTCCATAGCACTATGTTGCCATAGCACTTTAGGTCGATGTTCAGGTTTCTCCACGTGAACTACGTGGCTGAGCCACCCCCTCCTGTTCAAGTCCAGGGTGGCCTTGTTGATACAGCTAATGAATGTTGAATGAACTCCAGACTGGTGTAGGTCTTCCATTTGTCCCTGTATCCTGTCTGTTCCCTCCTCATGGTTTCTTTGGATGCCTGAGAACACATCAAATGGGATTAGATACCTGTGCTTATGCCAACGGGAGCCTTCACATCACATTGTACCTGGCTACCACTCAAGGTCCTGTCTTCCACTTTTCCGTGTCTGCCCTGCATGTGTCTTTTGAATTCCAGAAGCAGCCCAGCTCCGGCTGGTGAATGGCTCCAGCCGCTGCTCTGGGAGGGTCGAGGTCCTTCGTATCCTTGTCCTAGTAATGCTGACATGTGGAAGTGACTCCACAACCATAGGGTTGTAAAGTAGTTATACTTTATTGCAGTGCACCGGGCGCACTGGGAATAGCTTCCCTCAAAAAGTGTGCACCTGCCCAGCGTTCTCTCACAATTTTATACATGAATACTGCTACATATTACATGAGCTCTAATACATATTCATTCTTTTCCCTGAGAAGGCGGACCTCTTCCTAGTAGTACTCATTTCCAAACTCCCCGCCCTTAGCTCCTCCCAGTTCTGCTTGCGCAATGTAGTCTGGTGTTCAAGGGCAGGGGTATTTCAGGATGAAGGCAACAAGGAAGAGGAGGTTAAACTTTTTACCTTCCTGGACTTTGACCTTATGTTGGACAGTATTTAGGAGTTTTTTGCTTATCTTTGCCTTATTTTCTGCCAGTGAGTTGTTCATCCTTCCCTTATGCGTTGGCCTTGAGCGATATCTTCACTTTTACATCTGCTTCTCATAAGTTTCTCATCTACATTCCCTGATAATCAGGATATTTTACCATATATGTAGCTAAATATTAATTCAGATGAGTTTTAGCATCTTCCTCATCTCAGTGTACGTTTCCTCAGGCATGGCCATTAAGTTGCAGGGTTTATTCCCAACAGCTGCTGGAGTTACTGCATCGGCTGCCAGAGGTCTCAACCGAGACAACTGAGGAAGAGCTGGGCAAGACTTCAAGGGAGGCAGGCAGGCCAACAGGCCCTGCACCTTGTGGGAATGCCCGGAAGAAGCGGTGGGTGATTTGGAAAGACTGACAAAGGTCTGACAAAGGTCTGACAAAGGGGGAATTGGAAATGCTAGCCCTCTGAGGGGTAGTAAATGCTGTGGGGTTGATCTGCTTGGGCCAGACTGATCTGAGGAAGCAGGATAGAGGTTTGCAGAAATAAAGGAAAATAAAGGACCTCTTCTGTTCCTTATGCTGTGGTAAGGCTGTTCATTCAATAAAGCCAACCGAGATTTGTGAATGCAACATTTCTGGCACATGGTGCTCTGAATGCACAGCCTTACTCAAAATTGCTCCAACAAAGAGCCTGCAATTCAACTATTCGCTATTAAAAAAAAAAAAAATATTATTATTTATTTATTTATTTATTTATAGTAATGTAAATTCATCCTGAAGCCTGTTCACTTGAAAAAATTGGTCTAAATGTATTTTGGTTTTCCTTGTTTTGAGGGACTGTCGTGGTTTAGCCCGGCCGGCAGCTAAACACCACGCAGCCGTTCGCTCACCCTCCCCCCTCCCTCTCTGGGACGGGGGAGAGAAATGGAAAGTGAAGCCCGTGAGTTGAGATAAAGACAGTTTAATAAGACAGGAAAAAAATAATATCAATAATAATAATAATAATACAATGATGACAATAGTACTACCACTAATAATATGTACAAACAAGTGATGCACAATGCTCACCACCCGCTGACCGATGCTCAGCCTAACCCCCTAGCAGTCCGGCCCCCTCCCCCAGCTAGCCACCCCTATATATTGTTTAGCATGACGTCAGATGGTATGGAATACCCCTTTGGCTAGTTTGGGTCACCTGTCCCGGGTCTGTCCCCTCCCAGCTCTTGCTGCACCCCCAGCCTGCCTGTTGACAGGACAGAGCAAAAGGCTGAGATGTCCTTGGCTTGGTATAAGCACTGCTCTGCAACAATTAAAACATCGGGGTGTTATCAGCACTCTTCTCATCCTAAGCCAAAACACAGCATTCCACCAGCTAGTAGGAAGAAAATTAATTCTGTTCTAACTGAAACCAGGACATCTATCCACCCCTTATTCCATACCATTTCTGTCATGCTCAGGTTACACTCTTTTCCATACATTCTAATCAGTCACCTATAGTAGTCATGGTAGTGATAACATACAGTATTATATAATAAATAACATGGTACAATTCAGTTCATGGGCTATTCTCACCCAGTATTAAATCTCCTTGAGGTACACACCGGACCTCTCCGTTCTTTTGCATCACCCACCAAGTGTATCCAGGTCCCTGAGCGAAAACAATTCCACGAAGAGGTTTGCCTTTTCCTGAGGCAGGAGTAGCTCTGACTGTTTTACCCAGCATATTTCTTACATGCACTACGGGAACTTTATCCCCATCTACAGTACGTAACAGGTTTGATTGGGCAGGTCCAGCTCGGTTGGCAGATCCCCTAGTATTGACTAACCAAGTGGCCTTTGCCAAATGCGTGCCCCAATTTTTGAATGTCCCAGCGCCCATTGCTTTCAAGGTAGTCTTTAACAGTCCATTGTATCTTTCAACTTTCCCGGAGGCTGGTGCATGATAGGGGATGTGATACACCCACTCAATACCATGTTCTTTGGCCCAAGTGTCTATAAGGTTGTTTCGGAAATGAGTTCCATTGTCTGACTCTATTCTTTCTGGGGTACCATGTCGCCATAGGACTTGCTTTTCAAGGCCCAGGATAGTGTTCCGGGCGGTGGCATGAGGCACAGGATATGTTTCCAGCCATCCGGTGGTTGCTTCCACCATTGTAAGTACGTGGTGCTTGCCATTGCGAGTTTGAGGGAGTGTGATGTAATCAATCTGCCAGGCCTCTCCATATTTATATTTCAGCCATCGTCCTCCATCCCAAAGAGGCTTTGACCGTTTGGCTTGCTTGATTGCAGCACATGTTTCACAGTCATGAATAACCTGTGCTGTAGCGTCCATGGTCAGGTCCACCCCCCGATCACGAGCCCATCTGTATGTGGCATTTCTACCTTGATGACCTGAGGTGTCATGGGCCCATCGGGCTATAAATAATTCACCTTTATGCTGCCAATCCAGGTCCACCTGAGCTACTTCAATCTTAGCAGCCTGATCCACCTGCTGGTTGTTTTGATGTTCTTCAGTAGCCCGATTCTTGGGCACATGAGCATCTACGTGGCGTACTTTCACAGCCAGGTTCTCTACCCGAGCAGCAATATCTTGCCACAAAGCAGCAGCCCAGATGGGTTTGCCCTTACGCTGCCAGTTGTTTTGCTTCCATTGCTGTAACCATCCCCACAGGGCATTTGCTACCATCCATGAATCGGTGTAGAGATAGAGAAGTGGCCATTTTTCTCGTTCAGCAATGTCTAAAGCCAGCTGAATGGCTTTCACTTCTGCAAACTGACTCGATTCACCTTCTCCCTCAGCAGCTTCTGCAACTCGTCGCGTAGGACTCCATACAGCAGCCTTCCATCTCCGATGCTTCCCCACAATACGACAGGACCCATCAGTGAACAGGGCATATTTCTTTTCATTCTCTGGCAACTGGTTGTACAGTGGGGCTTCTTCAGCACGACCCACCTCCTCCTCTGATGATATCCCAAAGTATTTGCCTTCTGGCCAGTCCATGATCACTTCCAATATTCCTGGGCGACTGGGGTTTCCTATTCGAGCCCGCTGAGTAATCAGTGCAACCCACTTGCTCCATGTAGCATCAGTTGCATGATGCGTAGAGGGGACCCTTCCCTTGAACATCCAGCCTAGTACCGGCAATCGGGGTGCTAGGAGGAGCTGCGCTTCAGTACTGACCACCTCCGAAGCAGATCGAACTCCTTCATATGCTGCCAATATCTCCTTTTCAGTCGGAGTATAGCGGGCCTCAGATCCTCTGTATCCCTGACTCCAAAACCCCAGGGGCCGACCTCGAGTTTCCCCAGGTTCTTTCTGCCAGAGGCTCCAGGTGGGGCCGTTCTCCCCGGCTGCAGTGTAGAGCACATTCTTTACATCTGGTCCTGTTCGAACTGGCCCAAGGGCTACTGCATGGACTATTTCCTGCTTGATTTGTTCAAAGGCTTGTCGTTGTTCAGGGCCCCATTCAAACTCATTCTTCTTACGGGTTACTTGGTAGAGCGGGTTTACAATCAGACTGTAATTTGGGATGTGCATTCTCCAAAAGCCCACAACACCTAGGAAAGTCTGTGTTTCTTTTTTGCTAGTTGGTGGAGACATAGCTGCTATTTTGTTGATCACATCCATTGGGATTTGACGACGTCCATCTTGCCATTTTATTCCTAAAAAACTGGATCTCTCATGCAGGTCCTTTGACTTTATTTTGTTTTATGGCAAAACTGGCTTT